TTCTGATAGTATGTGTTGGAGCTGTGTACATAAAAACCTTGGTATACAGATTCCTAGAACTTTACTCTCTTGCTACTAGAACCTTTGTTCCTGTGTTGCTTCAAGTACAGCCTGGTATTTCCCATCAAAGGATATTTACAATGGTTCTAGTGAAATTACGTCGGTGGCTCTAGCATATGCAGACAGAAAGCTGAGCCAACCACAAAGGTCTAAGAAGCCAAGAAAGTCCCTGGCCCAAGATGGCACGAGAAAAGTTCCAAGCTCTGCAGTTGCTGCGAATTCCCATCATCTCCTTCCGTCCCTAGGGCTGACCAGGGGCCCTGGAGCCTTCAGACACGGCAGAAGGAAAACCAGCAAGTAAGCATTCACTGCAGGGAGAATGTCTGCAGGTGGTAGAGGAAGAAGGTCCACTGCCGCAGCCTTGAGGGACAGTGACATCAGCAGGCTTGGCAAAGGTGCACCACTCACCCTCAAATGAGGCAAAGGAACCTCATTTTAGAGTTCTCTGAACTCATCTCTCTTATCAGCCCACTTGAATACAAAAGAAATACGAAAAGATAAAGATTTGTAAATGGCCCTGAGATAATAAAAATCCACTGAGTACGTTGCTCCTTGATAAATTTACATCGGAAAGTTTCTGAATCACCCTAAACCACGTACCTACTGAGTTCCCCAAATCTCTCCTACGTCTGGATTAACCTGTAACTCACCCAGATGTCCTTCCTTGCTGGACAGAAGCACCACCAGCCTGGAGCCTAGAGTAGAACCAAACCTGACCCAGGAACTGCATCCTGAGAAATGGAGCACTTGTACCCCAGAAGCCTCTGCACCTTGAACTGCCAGCTCAGTCAACCCCCACCCCACCCCCCCACCCCCCCGCCCACAAGAAAACTCTGTCCTGGGGTCAAAAGTTGACAGGGAAGTTGTTCCCGCTGCCCATGCCACCAGAGAACTGCCCATGCCACTCGTGTGATGTGTGCCAAGCCAATCCTCCCTGGAAGCTTCTTGTTTGGTAAGCACCCTTCCTTTGCCAGCCCAGGGGTCTTTTGTTGGGGAGCACCCCTGGGAAACACTGCAGGAATCTTGGCTCCTGGGCCAGGAAAGATGAAAAGGGCCACAGATCCCTGGCTGGTTTTCAGGATTGGGGTTTGTTCTTATTTCTGACCAGCCAGGACAAAGGCTCAATCAGCCAGGGCCTTACTTAGGTCTGCTCCACAACCCAAGAGAATTTGAGGGCAGAAGTTCACAGTCCCCGCATAGCCCCAATTCCTGTTAACTTCAATTCCTAGATAAAATGCAATCCTACTTGTATCTACCACTATTTTCCTCGACTTGGAAAAGCTGGTCCTTTAGTCATATGGTACTGGGGATAGCACAGGTAAATATATTCACAGTTAATGTTCCATACTAGTGTGAAGTTCTGCATTCAGCCTTTGCACAGACGTTCCTTAAAGTAACGTCAGATAATAGCAAGATGCCTTATTTCCTCCCACTTGGAGAAGCCAATCATGTCAGCATGGGCACTGAGCTCTCTCCTGTTAAGTGAGGTGAGGAAGGAGGGAAGGACAAAGTAGAATGCCCTTTGAAATGTAAATTATGTAAGAACCAAGGCTTAAACTAGTTGACTAGCATCCCAGTATCCATGTGCGAATCTTAACATTATGTTTTCCTGAAAATTTAAATATATAATTTTAGACTCGCCTGATGAATGTGGAACAGAGAGAAATAAAGGGAAAGAACGTGTAAGGCAGTAGGAAATGCGTATACACACACACACACACACACACCCCTCTTATGTATAAAGCCAAAGCAGACGGTCTTGGGAACATCTGGATACTAGGGATCCAGTTTCAGATGGAACATTTGAGATGCTACAGTGGCTCAGAGCAGGAGGAGGCCCTGTCTGGTCCCACAGAGCCAGGGCCCAAAGCAGGGGCCACGGAAGCCACTAGGGAGAGGCCCTGGGTCTGACAACGAGAGCTCCAGCAGCATTGAGGACACCAGGACCTGTGTCTGCTCCACAGCCCACTCTCTTCCACGCTTACAAAGCCAGCAGCCCCAGTAAAAGATGGTCTACTGGTGGTGCTAAGAACTGACTACTGTACGTGGGGATCTCAAGTATTTGATGGGTTTTCTCTGCCAGACTCGTTGACTTTATAGATGTAACTGCATAGAACTTCTAAGCTAAAATCATTCCACTGCCCAGAGAAGCAATGAGCCAGCATTTCTCCTTCAACAGCCTAAAGTTAGTTTCCAGAGGCAAAGTGGGGCCTGGAAGAGGAATCTGATAGCTCATGACACTGAGTGTTACTGGAAGGGTCTTGAGCTTTTCCCCAAAGCAGATGGAACTAGAGCCAGGAATTATTTTGGATTCCCTGTTGTTACAGAATAATGGGAATAATCAAAGGTAAAGAGTGGCTTACAGAAAATAAGTGCAAACTTGGGAGGCTAAAATTTCATCCTCTAGAAGCCCCCACTGCAAAGCCACCCCTGCCAGCACTTTACAGAGGACTTTTCAAACAGCCACCACACTGAGCAGGTATGACGGTGTTGAGAAGTTCTGTTTCTCTCTGAAGTCAAGGAGCTGGCAGCTGGAATCCCTTCTCTGTTCCCCGGACTCTCGCGGAGCTTTTGGGTTCACAGAGGAACAGTGGGGCTCTGAAAAAGATCCAACACATTAACTCAGATTCCAGGAGCTCCTTCCAGTAGCAAGGCACCCTGAGACGGGCCACGTGTGGCAAAGCAGATCAGTCGGCAGAGACTGAGGGGGCAGAGATCCTGAAAGCCAGAGGAGCCATGGCGTGGCAGGCCAGGCTCCACCAAACTACCAGGAAGGCAAGCGCAGTCCGGGCCCAGAGGACGGACGGCGTGGTTGTTGGGGGATCACCCCCACCCCCCCGTGCAAGACCCAGGTTTTACTTCCTTAGAGGGAACTCTCATTTCTGCGCACCCCATGGACAGTCCCAGTTCCCACACCACACTGGGGTTGTGTTTAGCCACATGCGTCTTAAGAAATGGCGATCTTTTAACTTGGATGGGTCTGTTTATGAAAGGGGACACTGACAGTGCAGGGCCTCACTCACATTAAGACAAAGTGGGGGCTCCATCCCGTGGTAGTAGGTTTGGTGCCAGCAGCGGGCCGCTTAGCCCCTTCGCAGGCCCCCCCGCCGCCGTGACCTCTGCCAGTTGAGGCCAGTACTTGCCTCACTGAGTGGCATGGCACCTGATGAGGAAGACACTGCAGGACCGACGTCCCAGAGGAAATACTGCGGGAAATGCGCATATGACACTAGAGCCCCAAACCGCTCACCAGGAGGCAAGCCCAGCAGGTGGCCGGTTATTGCACAACCACAGCTCCCACCCTCCCCAGAGCCCAACCTGGGGGGCGCGCTCCTACCTTGAGGAGGGAGAAGGAAACCGCCGCTTGGCCCGGGGCTTCCCTTCGTTCAGTGAGACCCCGCGGACAAAACACTATCTTCTTGGCTAGTGACTAGAGGCAGCACGGAGTGGCAGCTCTACACGAGCACTGCCGTCAGTATGGATTCAACTCAGTGTACGAGCGTTGCCACCAAAATGCACACATCCCTCGGGTAACACTTAAAACAGATAAGATAGGTAAGAATTCAGTCACTCAAGAAATACCTCCTGACATTAATTTCACTACACGTGATGAATTTGGCATTAAAAGGCGGCGGATGCACACATGAAACGGCCGCAACACACATTTGGTTTCTGAATCCCTGTTCGGGGCCACGCCGTTCAGGCAGCCCTGGCCATACAGGCAGCCTCTCTGTTGTGGGCCGCATCTGAGGCGGGAGGCACCGAGGTCCTCAGGCGAGGGACACGGCCACTGCCCGGCCCCCCAGGGGCCCAGGGACAGAGGGGGAAGAGGGGCAGCTGGCTCCCTGGGAGCAGGGGTGGGGGCTGGCAGACCCCGAAGTTCCCTCCTTTAAACCCACGGGTCTAGAAGTGCCCTCAAGGCATGGCTGGAAGCCGACTCCTTTTCTGACCATGACAGAGGTCCCGGTGGGAAGGGGAGGAGCTTGAACTCCACACCACATGATTACTCAAAAGCCCTGTGGAAGATTTCCATTTGGCATCTGTGTAGCAGCATCCTGGGTTAACAAGAGCGAGGACGGGGAGGTGGGTGACGGCGCTCGGTAAGCTGGGGAGAAGGCCTGGCTGGGCCGGAGAATCCAGGCTGTAGGAATGTCGGGGTGAAGTCACCTTGCCTCTTGCCAATGATAAACCATGGGTTTAAAATTCATTAACATTCATTTTGGTGATAAAAATTCCTTAGAGTAGGAGCAAAATCACATTCCAAGCAAATGTTAAACCTTTCTGAGGGGAAGGGACACGGTTAAACATTAACTTAAAACAACACTGAGCTCACAGAGGCGGCTGCAGGCCCCCCCCGTGCAGGCTCCACCCCACAGTGGGACAGACGTGGCGGGTTGGCATCGACCGCTTTCTTCATTCATCCTTCAAGTTCCACAGCGACACCCGCTGGGTGTAGAGGAAGCGCACCCCTCCCTACGAGGGCCGAGGAGCAAGTCCATTCTGTGCGGGTCACATCATGGAGTCACAGCAGAGTTCAGACACAACAACGTAAAACTCTGCAAAAGACACTTTTTAAAAACATGATCTCTTAGGGGACAAAAAAATAATAAACCGCAACAATTTTCAACTTCATGCAAATTGAGGAAGGAGGAGAGTGAATAAGGAATAAAAGGTACAACTGAAAAAATAAACATGATTCTATTTGGGTGGAAGAGGCTCGTCTCCACCATCTTGGATGCCATGCCCTAGCTGTCGATCTCACACCTCTGGTCTCCAGTCCACCCTCACCGTTCTCCTCTGCTGCTTCCAGGAAGGGAACAAAGTCTTTGGTCTCAGGATGTTGCAGGACGCAGCACGGCACACAAGCTCACGCTAATGGGATTCACGGTCAGCTGGCCTGAGGCCTCGGGAGTGGGGGCGAGGGTTGGTGGGGGGGCGCCCTAGATGGCACCTTCGCTGTGCAGGCTGTGATTGGCCTTGTTGTGTGTCACACAGTTCTGTTCATTGAGCAGGTTGGCTGTCTCGTCTGGCAACCCGTCGTGCAGCTCCGTAAGAGTCAATTCAATTTTAGTGTTTTCACTGTCTGAAGACTGAGGAGTTTTGTCCATCCGGGATGCCATCAAGGCATTTTGGTATTGCTGTCTTGAGATCTGGGGGCCAGAAGATGGCACAAAAACAAACCAAGATAATGCTTATTTTCAGGCGCTCTTGTCTCGACATGGTATGACACGTTAAAATCCCCCGAAAGGCCCCTCATAGTTTTTCTAGGGAAATACCATCCTTGAGTATAAACTGAGCCACTTTTAAAAGCTCAAGTTGACGCTGGAGAACAAATCAGTTTTTTACTGATAGAAGCTATTTCCAGATCTTTGTCTCAAAGCTTCACAGCGACTGGAAAATGGAGATAGGCTTCCAACAGCTAAAGCTGGCTTGTTCTTCACAAGACGTCTTTATTCCGGACTAAGAAAAGAACCCTGTCTCGGGGCAGAAGAGAAGCAGAGGATTCTTCCCGCCCCATCCCGTTAAGTCTTCAGAGTCTCTGATCTCAGCCCTTCCAGGGCCATCCAGAGTCACTGGGGTCAGGAGCTCATGAGGACGCACTGGAAAATGTGGATTCTGTTTCTCACCATCTCCAGCTCTCACTCCCTGAAAAAGGCACATCTGACTTGGCAGCTTTTGTGACAGAGCCAGGGAGGTACCTGTTTCCCCGGCCTAACCCCTGGGCACAGTAGCTGGAGGTGTAGGGAGTCCAAATGACAAAGGGAGAGCTCAGTGGCGGGGCCTGGGAAGCCAAACAACTCGCTGAGGAAGTTGGCCTCCAGTGGCCGGGCCCCGGCCCCAGCCCAGCCACTCTCCCTTCTCTTACCTTAACAAACTGAAGGTCAGAAAGGGCTCGCACGGAGTAGTCGGGGATGTAGACTTGAAGGAACGAAGAATTGAGCTGATTATTGCTGCTCCCCAGTGTCGGCGTTATCGCGTCAATCCGGTCACTTCGGCTGAGAGAGTCTGAGTGATTCAAGCCACATGGGCGAGGCGGCGACTTGTTTTCACCTGGAAAAGGAGGGGAAAGAAACCATAACCTTTTAAGCGAGGTAGATATAAGCAATAAAGTCAGCTCTTTATTTTCCAAATAAAAAAAAGTAGCAACTAACAGACCAGCTCAATGAACTTCTCCCAGACGCCTGAGCCATACCGCTCAGCATGTAGGGCCCTCCTACAACACGCTCCTGGCCTCCCGGCAACAAGGGGATCGCGCGGGTTAGCCTCTCAGCCCCGTGCGCGCGCACGCGCGCGCGCACACACACACACACACACACACACACACACACACACACACACACACAGTCCTTCCCGAGGCTCTGACCGAGAAGACCCTGTGGCTACACACCTGTGTCAGGAGTGACCCTGAACCGCGCAGGCTGTGTGCCGATGAGGCCCAAGACACAGAAGCTCCCGGATGTAAAACACAGACCGTGCCAGAAGCAAAAGCAAAGGACTCTTGAGAACGTTTGTAAAATCAGTATGTGCTCGCAAGGGATCAGGACAGTTCCGTCTGCTCCTACCCCTCCAACCAAACCTGTTATCCTGGTCTCTGACCTCAATAAAATTCCCACCAGGCAGTCCAAGGATGTCTCAGGGTTTCAGGAATACCAGAAGACACCAAACCCTTAAAAGATTTAAGGCAGCGTAGGTGCTGTGGGATTCTTCGATGACATGCACATTACTCATTCATTAAAACAAAGTGAAAGGAAATTCAGTGAGTCTAAGTGTTGCTGTTCGTAAAGGCAAGTTGACCGTAGCTTCTAACGTAAATTTCATTAAAAATAAAACCCACCTCCCGCCTTGTCAAAGCTTCCTCCGTGTTTGCTGTTCTAATCAAGTCATTCCACAAATGTTAAGTGGGTGTTCACAGCGGACAGGTCCTGACCTGCATAATGTCCACCTCCTCAGACTCAAGCGGCAGTCTCTCCCTCCGTGCTGTAGAGATCCCCCATCATCCCTCCACTACTTGAATGAGCCTTAAAAGCCTGAACATAGTTATGTTCCCCTTAAGCCTCTTCCTGTCCAGGCTAAATACTTTGATGTGTTTTATGACCCCTCAACCCCATCCTGACCACCATCTGAGATTCCACTCAGGAAACATCCCTCTTAAAATAGAACAACCACAGGGGCGCCTGGGTGGCTCAGCTGGTTGAGCATCTGACTTCGGCTCAGATCATGATCTCACAGTCTGAGTTCAAGCCCCGTGTCGGGCTCTGTGCTGACAGCTCGGTGTCTGGTCTGCTTCAGATTCTGCGTCTCCCTCTCTCTCTGCCCCTCCTCTGCTCATGCTGTCTCTCAAAAATAAATAAGCATTAAAGAAATTTTTTTTAAATTGGACAACCACAACAAAACACGGTAAGTACTCGATGAACCTCAAATGGCAAGTTCACTTTCTCCCCAAATTTTCACAGCATGACTTTCCCTACAATTTTCTTGGCAGAACGATTTTCCATCGTCAGTCAAAACTAAACTCAGAGTGGCCACTCATCTGGTTGGTTCCACTTATCTTCTAAGAGAACAAGGCAAATTAATAATTTATCAGATGTTTTCTATTTAGCAGAAGGGATGACCCTTTGCTAAAGCCTCAGATTCCCTACCTATATGTAAAAGGCAGGTAATAATAGTCTCCACTTCCTAAAGTCTGATGGGGATTCAGAATGAAATAATAGGGGCGCCTGGGTGGCTCAGTCAGTTAAGTGTCTGACTTCAGCTCCATGATCAGGAGTTCAAGCCCTGCATCGGGCTCTCTGCTGCCAGCACAGAGCCCGCTCCGGATCCTCTGTCTCCTTCCCTCTCTACGCCTCCTCCCTTCCCCACTCTCTCTCTTTATCTCAAAAATAAATAAAAAGCTTTTTAAAAAATGAGATATGTAACATGCCTAGCACAGCATCTGACACCTAACAACCGATCCATAAGCCTAGTTAACATTGTTATATTTTCTGTTTGCTTCCCAGACCTCTCCACTACGTACCTACCCTGATGGCCAAGCCTTCCTGTATTTGTGAGGGCATCACCCAGGCTGAAAGATCCAACCATTGTTTGAAACAAAGGATCCCACTGAATCCTTAAGCTTTAGCCCCACATCACCATTGCTACAGATAGTGCTTGCTTTTGTGTGTTACAGTTTAAAGGTCCAAAACCCAAAACATTTAAGGGGCACTTTGCTTATTGATCAGACTGTGTCAGGTAGATGTCAAGGGCCCTGTGCAGTATTTCTGAGTCTCCTATTCTCCTGAGGAGGATTACAGGCAAACTCTGGTTTCTCCAAGGTATCTATATTTCTAGTTAATTTCCTCTCAACCCACCACCCTCTGTTTTTGTGAGATGAACCCCCTCCTTTGCAGCAACCCACTGCCTGGCGTCCTGGCCACAGTCTGGAGAAGCAGTGGGACCCCTTCTGCAGTAGCTTGGCAAGGACAGAGTGTGATTGGCCTTTCATCAACATGCAGTGAGAGAAATTATGGAAAGAGCCTAAATGTCCATCAACTGATGAATGGATAAAGAAATTGTGGTTTATATACACAATGGAGTACTACGTGGCAATGAGAAAGAATGAAATCTGGCCCTTTGTAGCAACGTGGATGGAACTGGAGAGTGTGATGCTAAGTGAAATAAGCCATACAGAGAAAGACAGATACCATATGGTTTCACTCTTATGTGGATCCTGAGAAACTTAACAGGAACCCATGGGGGAGGGGAAGGGGGGGGAAAGAGAGGTTAGAGTGGGAGAGAGCCAAAGCGTAAGAGACTCTTAAAAACTGAGAACAAACTGAGGGCTGATGGGGGGTGGGAGGGAGGGGAGGGTGGGAGATGGGTATTGAGGAGGGCACCTTTTGGGATGAGCACTGGGTGTTGTATGGAAACCCAATTTGACAATAAATTTCATATATTTAAAAAACAAACATGCAGTGAGAGAGATGAATATTCACACCAAGGAGAATAAAGACTTTAAGTGGACACTCCCCAGTTCAGGTCATGTTTTGTTGCCAAATTTATGTGCTAAATTATCACAATAATTATGATAAAAAAAACCTTTCAATCTTAATTCCTCTATGCCTTCTCGGATTTTTTTTTTCTTTTTCTTCATCTTGCCTAGGAATTCTTTTTAGAAGTCAGCTAGAAAGATACTATAAAGTTAACAGTCCCAGCCTCCTCCCTGGGAACCACAAAGCACCTTTTGGAATAGGCTAGAAATCACTGGTTTAGGTCTATTATTGTAATGCCAGCATCCTGAAGGCTTGGGCCCACAAATGGATTTTTTTATTACTGGATCAGATAGAGTGGACACAGCTAAGAAATCTCTAAGTTCTACAGGAAAAGTAAAATACAAATGATATTTCATGAGCTTCATCCCAAAGTCACTCTAGTTCAGCATCTGTGACATTTTAAAGAGGTAGCACATGCCAGCGAATAAAATGGGGAGAAAAAACACAAACATATATACATATACACAAATACCTATTTATGTGCGTATATATGTATGTGTACATATGTATAATCTTCCAGCTCGTTTGATTCAAACAGTCCTATAAATAAGATCTACCCCAATTCTTTCAGAGCAAAGACTTGAAGGAACATTAGCTTCTTTCTAGGACAAGTATTGCCTCCTTTACTAAATATAAGCATTTGACAGTTTTGCTCAAACTGGATTATGGATCGCAAATTTCATCAGATTTTAAAATGTAAGCTGTGTGGAACAAAATAAAGAGAAAAACTGTACTACCAAAAGCTCAGCAATTTTAATTAAAGAAAGATTAAACCTTTGCCTTTCTTTTTAGCTGCTGGACGTGTTAGCCAGGCATGACCAAACTCTCCTGCAGGGCAGGAACCAGCAGCTGGTGGGGAATGTGCACAGTACTAATTTCAAAAGAGAAAGAAGGAGACAGGACAAGCAGGGCCACCTGCCTGATGGGGGAAGGGGGGGGGGCGGTAATGCATATGCCCCGTTCACAGGGATGTCAGAGAAAGGACCAAAGAAACAGAACCAAGAACGCCAGGGCCTCTGCACACAGGGCGCTTGTCCACTGAGGAAAATTCATAGTCCTTGAGACTTTGGGCTCAATGTGCTTTTGGTAGAAGCATCCTCAGGTTCTGAGGCCCTCGGGGCCTCTGCAAGTGCCTTTGCTGAGGTCAAACCACCCCAAGCAGCCCCCCTGTACCGCCCTGAAAACCCAAGGTCGGCAGTGTGGGTGGGCCAGGCAGGGAGCAGTGAGGATCCAGGTCAGAATCACTCTCGCTTTCTGTGGGGTCAGCGCTGCTCACGCTCGCGGATTCCCCGCCAGTCTGCCGAAGCCTTCGCACAACGGCTGTGGGCTCATACTTCCCTGGAAAGCTCACTACTGCGTCTGTAAGCATGGAGTTTGCGACCTCAAAGAAAAACTGCAAACGGCCTGGACCAAATAAAGGGAGCAGATCTAGGCTTTTGTGGGGTCAAGGGAGGCAACCGGAAGAATTATGAAAAGGAAACATGCAGAGTTACCTGGAGAACCTGCTGCTAACAACTCTGTTCTGCTGACAACAAAGGTACGAGACAGGGACAAAGGAACTGAAAAATGGAGAAAAACAGGGTGAGACCATATCAAAAGGCAAGAAAGGCGATCTCTGCACTCAGGGGACAGGAGCAGACACCCGCTCTACTAACATCAGCGTTCCATTCCAGAAGCGCAAAAGCCTGTAAGTTATTATGTAAATAAAAAATAAAATAAAATAAAAGAGCACACGTTGCTTTCCAGGAAGAGGAATGGGGAGGCAGAAATCAGAAGAAATCTTATTCAAATGCTTCTTTACTAACCCAGAAATCTCTTAAGCCATTAATACCCTATTGGGGTTTATAGCTCAAAACGTGCTCTTAAGGGTTTAAATCACAACTAGCCACACAAAAGGGGGGCTCAATTAATTAACGGCCCCAAGAGCAGGACCCAAGCTACTTGCACCAGCACAGCCAAGAGCGTCCCTGTCTGCGGCAAGCAATTAGTTATTCAATTCATGGACATCCTTAATTAGCCTGGTTGTAATTTTGATATGATATTTTGCATTGGCTCGGCATACTCTGAAGTTTCAAAGTATTAGACCAAAGTAAATAAAAGCTGTTATACACAGGTCTGCTGGGAATGGCGGACCAAGGGCATCCTCAGCACTGCTTACTCAGAGAGCTACAGGTCCATCTGATTGAAAAGTCCAATCAGCAATGCCCTACCTGGCAGGAGTCCTATTTTCTGGGCAGGATTTTTTGTTTCTGTTTCTGTTTTTAAATTAAAGTATAATTGACATGCAAAGGGACAGGCTGTGATAACTAATGATGGCAGGATTTTTCTAGGCAATCAACACTAATAAATAGAATTATTATCTTGAGATTACTGTACTAATTGTATCTCTCAATGAAATGCACGAAATCCCAAATCCTACTTGTCAAGTCAAATACTGGGCTTTGTAATAGGATGTTATTAATGAGATCCCCTTCCTTCCTGGCATTTCCAGAAAAGGCAAGCTTGCTACGGTCCCCCAGGCTTTCTTTCAGGGAGGTCTGCTCTTCAATTCCTTTTCTGAATGGGATCTGCCCTTATGTGAATCCACAGTTCAGTATAAACTGGGCTAATATTTAGGTTTCAAGAACCAGTCATCAGTAAGATTGTGCACTTAACTCCTCTAACTTTCTTTTCAAAACAACCTTCTAAACAACTCTGACTCTGCTCACCTGGGACTAATCTGAAGTTGGTCGCCAAACAGTCACAAGCTTGACACCTATCATACCCGACATTCCCTCTGTGCTTTCAAGCTTACAAAGCACTCGTGTGGATAAGTATCATCACGTTCTATTCTTCTAACAATCACACGAGGTAACCTTAGTAAGTCCTTTTAAGGAGGAGGAAGCCAGGGCTGTCCTCAAGGGCAGGCAACCATAGAATATGAAACTGCAGCTGTGACCCAGGTCTTCCCAGCCCACTTTGGAATCTCCCTGCCTCCTCACTAGCAGTGAGAACAGAAGATCACCTTCAAGTTTATAGCAGACACAATTAAGTGGGATCAGACAGGCCTACATTCACACTGGTGTTAGCCAACAGTTGACAACGAGGAGACTGCCTGATGTGGCTGGAAACCCCATGGCAGGACAGTGAGAAGATGCATCTGGGGCAGGGGAGGCTGAGAGGTTTGAGAGAATTCCTAACATTTCAATGGCTTCCCCACTGTAAAGACATCTTTGCCGGGACACTGTGTGGCGCAACAGATGAAGACTAATGTCACCCAAATAGGTCTGTCTGGAGGTATACCCCCTACCTTTTGAGACTGGTTTTCAGAAGTGACCCAGGTTGTTTCAGGCTAGTTTTAAATTTGAGGTTTCTGTCTCCTAGCACAGCATGTCATTTGGTATTCTGGCCACAAGATGGCACCCCAGCACCTCCGTTTACCTGTCTGGTTGCAGCCGGGGTCAGGCAGCAAGCACGCGCACGCTTGCAAAAAAGCAAGCGGTGCACAGGGACCCATCAAGTCCTGACCCAGAGGGATCTGTGGTCCATGTTCTTACCAGGACGGACACGGCTTGCTGGCCTCTTGTGCTCAGAGCACTTAGTCGACGCCCTATGGCACACCCATTAGCTGGCTGACTCAACTGACCAGCTGTCTAGATAAGAGCTGGCTGTAGGCAATACATACACATTAACCTCATTCCTCCTCGGGAAAATGCCAATTCAAAAACCTCCAGCATAGTTAATGTTTTAATATCTGGCGATGGATGCGGGGCAGCCGGGACCCTCGTCAGTCCAGGCGGGAGCTTGAACCTCTGCAGCCACCGTGGCAAACTGCAAGGCAGGAGCTACTCAAGCCGAGGCCATGGCCATGAGCCCGCAGTTCCGCCCCTCCACACACGCCCACCAGAAGACATGCACAGCGGTACCCACAGCCACACAATCCACGGTGGCCTCAAATAGGACACTAACCCCGTGCCCAGCAGCCATGAAATAGATACACTGTTGTATATTCACGCGGTGCAGCACCGTGAGAATAAAGTAGGAGCACACGCAGCAACGATGACAAACGTGACACGGACGACACTGGGTGAGAGAAGCCAGGCTCAATACGACACCTACTGCCTAAGTCCATTTACGCAAAGTCCAAAAGCGGGCAAAACTAGGCTATGCTTAGAAGTCAAGGCAGTGGCCTGGGCAAGGGTGACTAAGAGGGAGTGTGGGGGCGGGGGCGGGGGCGGGGCCTGCCCACCTCCTGTTGACACAGGAGTGGTCAGTGTGTGAAGATTCACGGGGGCATAGACTTAGGATTTACTCGGGGCGTTTTTGGGCTTACACGCTATACTTCAATAAAAAGGGCCAAAAAGTAGATAAACAGGGCTGGCTGGCAGGTATAGGAAGGTCAGAGTAGAAGGGCATTCTGTCCCTAAAACACAGCCCTGCCCCAAGAGGCCGGGCAGGAAAACTCACCTGGAGAGGCTGTGAGGGCCATCACACCATAGTAGGAGAAAGCACTGGCTTCGAATTTCATACCTTCTTTCCCAGCTTCTACTTCCACCTTCCCCTGTGAGAAGAAAAGGGGAGTGTTTTCAGTCCAGTTCCCTGACTCTATCTGCAGACTCTCTGCAAGATTTGTCCTTCCATCTAAATTCCTTTCCCAACCAACCCCGGGGAAGTAGAGCCTCAGATGATCTTTCCCAACTCAGCAGAGAGGGTTAATTCATCTCAAATATGAAGACCGGATTTGGCTGGAGATGCAGAGAAGACAGTAAAAGTGTGATGTTTAATTTCTGTGAGTCCCCTTGGTATTTCCCCAGCATCCTTATTTTTGTGCCTGGATGCTCCAGGAACCCGCCCAGTAATAAGAAGACGGTGCTCTCGCCCCATTTGTGGAACCAACGCTGGGAAGACAGTCTTGCAGGAGCGTGAGCTGGGGCAGCATCAGGGTCAAGGGTTAACGAACACGGTTCGTGGCCGTGGAAGAGAGAGGACTACCCCAGAAGAGTTCTAGGGGCAGAACTCACTCTGGTCTTGCCAGCCCAGCATCCCGCGTGTGCAGGCCAACCCCTTGTCATTCAGACTCCCCACGGGCCCTGCGACACCTCGGAACTCCCTCCTCACAGCTGGGAAAAGTTCCTGAGGCCAGTCTCCTTCCATCAGGACAAAACCTCTCCCTGAAGTTCTCCTTTGCCTTCTCTTCCTCTAGCTTCTTAGTCCACAACTTCCCTCATCAGTTCCTCTGGGACCGACTGAGGCTGCCCGATTCATCCTGGTAGCTTTAGGCTCCACCGTGACCCCCCTCACTGTAGGGGTTTAATATGCATTTTCTGGGCGACTGCAATACCCCACTGAGTGAGTGGCACTTGTGGGTTTCCAAGACAAAGGTCACAGTGGTTCTTGTTCATGGTGCCTATAACCACCTCTCCAGCAAGAGGCTACCTTTACGGTACATCCTCCATGACAGGTAAATAAAAATTATGGTACGATTTATTGAAGGGGCAGCTGGACTAACAAGTCAGCGCTTTATTAACTCACTTAAGGCTTGTAACTCCATGAAGCAGACACAATTACCGCCCCCCCCCCTTACAAATCAGGAGAGAGAGGCACAGAAGGATTCAATAACCAAAGAACAAGTTCTTGACCGATAGGCTACACTATGCTATCCACTAACACAAACTATGATTTTGATCACCCCTATTATCATGTACTACATTCCCAATTATGAAAGACTTTCCTCAAATCAGTTCTTCAGAAAACTATTTATTGTCTCTCCTTTAGATTTTGAGTTCTTCACTCAAAATAGTAGTTTTATCCACCCCCAACCAACTCTCTGCCATAAGAGAGGAACTCAAGACTCCACCCATAATATACAATCAACCTGCAAACAAACAGGTGCCCCGGGATCCTGCGAGAAGACAGGCCTTGCCACCCACGCATTTCCAGTGCAAGAGACAGAGGGGGAGCATGTGAAAATCGATGGGACAAGGCAGTCAACAAAAATTCTCCACGAGGAACAAGACAGTAAGAACATAAGGAATTCGGAGAGAAAAAATTACTCCCTGCTCTTATACAAGGCAAATTTTGTACAGGAAGGAAAATCTAAGGAGGATTTGAGCCGAGAGAAGAGAGGGCAGGTCAGAGGTGGGAGACAGAAGCCCGCCAGGCTCACTGAGTTTGCACAGGGAAGAGCGGGGACATGGGGCAGAAAAGCAGCCTGGAGAGCAGGTTACACCGCAGAGCGCCTTGGACGACGAAGGACTAGACTAATGAGGCCAGGTTCTTGTGCACAGGGGCTCTGGGGCTCGGCTTCAGGGAGACAAAGTCAAGGCTCACGCCGGGCTGGGAACCACAGGACCAGAAAAAGATTGCTAGGAGAGGAGCTACAGTTAAGGGATCGACACAGTTTGGAGAAAGCGAGAGGGAGAAAGAAGCGTAAAGGAGGGAGGGGGAGTCGCCAATCTTGACAGAAGTTTGCTCTGAGTGAGTGACCAGAAGAAGGGGCGCCATGAGCCCGTGAGCGCAGATAGGAAAGTGGGGAAGGGGTTGCATCCGTCCTGGGGGCAGGGAGGAGAGGACACCCTCCCTTCCAGAAGGAGGTCTTGGGGGAAGAGTCCATCAAAAAAGGCTGAAGAGGAAGAACAAAAGTTAGGAGAAAGGTCAGAACTGGAGATGGAGATTAGGGAGGGGGAGCGGGAGGGAGGTAGAGAGGGAAAGAGAGAGAAGAGGTGATAACTGAGCTGGCATCTTGAAGGAACAGGTGCGAGGAGAGTGAGGGACTTCAGAGGCAGGGACCCAGTTTTACTGGGAGTGCCTGATCGTATGGATCTTCCTAATTACTTATCCCTTTCTTCCTGGGCTAATGCTCAAGCTTCTATCAGTTAATATGTATGTATGTGCTATTTGAAAACATCTGTCTCTCTAGTTGGAAGCTTAACAGTGGTTTCACGACCATCTTGTAAGCCAAATTTCTTTTTTTTTTTTTAGTTAAAAAAATCTTTTTTAACATTCAGTCATTTTTGAGAGAGCGTGAGCAGGGGAGGGGCAGAGAGCATGGGAGAAACAATGCGATCCGAAGCAGGCTCTGAGCTGTCAGCACAGAGCTGGATGCAGGGCTCGAACTCAGAAACGCCAGATCATGACCTGAGCCCAAGTCAGATGCCCAACTGACTGAGCCACCCGGGTGCCCCACATAAGCCAAATTTCTATGCAGAAAATCCAGAGGAAGAATGAAATCCAACAGAGCCTCCTCATGACTTCCATCTTTACGGGTCTCCAGCTGATCTGGATCATTTGTCTTACGAGTTACAAGGCCCTCTGTATTCTGGGTCCCTGCAAATGGGTGTCCACTTACAATTCCTTATAATTACTGTCAGAACCAGCAGGGTAACAGCCGGTCCCCCAAAGACCGAAAATAACAATACCAGGTCTGCCTCTAGGAAAGGAGCCACGCTGGTGGAACCTCTGCCAGGTCAACTCAAAGGCAGTGACTCCCAGCCCTTGCTGTGCCCTGGAAATACCTGGGGGTTTGAAAAAACAAACCTGATGTCTGGCCCCCACTCCCAGGCATTCTGATTTAACTCGTATGGGTGCGACCTGGGCATCAGGATTTTAATAAAGCTCTCCAGGGGATTCAAGCATGCAGTAAGTTTGGGAATCATTGCTGCAAGGCTGTGTGAACAGCGGCCCCAGCTCCAGAGCCTCTATGTACCGTGGCCTCTCAGGAAACTCGCCCATAGCCGCGGTGGCTGTTGAGCCCACGAATTAAACAAGGGCAGCCGCGCCCAAGACTCAAAGCTCTGGATCACGTTCACCTCTCCTCTGTCCTTGAGGACCGGCCTACAGGTGAGGGAGGATGAGTCGTCGTCTTCCACAGCCCACCCAGCCAATACCGACCAGGCTGCAGGCGGTGACACCTGGTCAGTGGTTCCTGGTGTCTCGATTCCCACAACCAGTAAAATATTCCTCCAGCCTCGGAGAGAGGGTTGACAAATTATTTCCTACAGAGATTTTACACAACACAGCCATCTACTCGAACCATCACTGCACTTAAGACCAGCCATTTTATCCCCCAAATATAGATAACATACCATCGCAGACTAACAGGTCTTTAAACCGAATACATGCAATTTTACGTGTAACTTGCTGCAGCGGTCTTTATTTTTCTCCTTTTTGTCTCAAACTGATGAAACCTTTGTCAAGCATCAGCCTTAAAGAACCACTGCGCAAAAAGCTAATCTTACATCATTTGTAAAATTGCAATAAAGGATCCCTGGGGTTCTTTTGAGTCAAACTTTGAATGATTCTACAATTCCAAGTTTTAATAACTGCCCATCCCTGTATTCCTCACTACACAAGTGCAGCTTTTCTGGGAGGCAAGTTTTAGAAACATCCAGTAAACAGTTTTCACTCATGTATGTGTGTTGATGGCTCCCAGAAGTGACCACATCCAAATAAACCTACCATATACAAACTGGGGCCACTCGCATGAAGAAATGGCTTGCCTGCCTCACAACCAGTCAGGTGTCCTTAGATAACAGCTTTTCCACGTAAGGAAGGGGCTACATATCAGTTTTACTTTTTTAAAGTTCTTTTTAATGTTTATTATTGAGAGATAGAGAGCAAGCAGGGGAGGGGAAGAGAGAGAGGGAGACACAAAATCTGAAGCAGGCTCTGGGCTCTGAGCCGTCAGCGTGGAGCGCGACCCGGGGCTCGAACCTATGAACCTGGAGATCATGACCTGAGCTGAAGTCAGACGGTTAACCGACTGAGCCACCCTGGCACCCCTCAATTTTACTTTTGAAACATCCACAAATTTACTCTATCACACACACACACACAAAATCAGCACAGGACATGAAAAGGCTCCCAAAGGGAGCTAGGCTTCATATTTAAACTGACGAGAGGAGGGGGGCGCCTCCTCAGTCAGTTGAGCGTCCAACTTTGGCTCAGGTCATGATCTCACCATTCATGAGTTTGAACCCTGCATCAGGCTCGTCGTTGTCAGCGTGGAGCCTGCTTTAGACCCTCTGTCCCCCTCTGCCCCTCCCCCCATTCTCTCATTCTCTCTCCCTCCCCTCTCTCTCTCAAAGATGAATCAACATTTATCAACAGATAGGAAGGAAAGGCCTGTCTCAAGCACAGCTGGTTTCCCAAGTAAAGTTACCATCACAGAATCCCACCTTTCTTTGGAAGAAGGTCATTAGGTAACTCTCCTCAAAGCCTTTAGCGTCCAGAAGCCACACTGACAAAGCAGTCTGTGCCACACCTGGCCACAAGGTGGAAGCCTGCGCTAACCTAGTTGGCACAAGCAAGATCAACTGGTCAGCGGATGCCATGGACTCAGGGAGATCAGAGACTTCCTCAGACACCATATGCTGAGCATCTTCTCAATCTCCCGCTCACCTTTGCATTGAGTCTTGCTTTGTTTTTTTTTATTTTTTCCTTAAATCACCATCACAAATTATTCAGCGGAGCTTGATATCTGAAAGGAGGTAACTGAATCCCAGGGGCGTGAACACCAGTTTGAATTCACCAGCACCGCCCAGTAAGAGGGGAAGCAAACCC